ATACAACCAAGAAAGAGAATTGCAGGCCAATCTCACTCATGAACATCTACGCGAAAATTCCCAATAAATTACTGGCAAACCGAATCCAAGAACACATTAGAAAAATATCCATTATGATCAAGTAGGCTTCATCCTAGCGATGCAGGGCTGGTTCAACATACGCAAATCTATCATTGTAATTCATCATATAAATAAAATGAAAGAAAAAAACCATATGATCATTTAATTAGATGCTGAAAAAGCATTTGACAAAATTCAACATCCCTTTATGATAAAGGTATTGAAGAGATTGGGGATACAATAATCATACCTAAATATAATAAAAGCTATTTACAGCAAGCCGACAGCTAACATCAAACTGAATGGAGAGAAACTCAAAGCCATTCCATTGAAATCATGAACACGACAAGGCTGTCCACTCTCTCCATACCTCTTCAATATAGTGCTTGAAGTTCTAGCAATAACAATACGACAACATAAGGGGATCAAGGGGATTTGGATTGGAGGGAAGTAGTTAAATTCTCGTTATTTGCAGATGATATGATAGTGTACATAAGCGACCCCAAACACTTTTCCAAAAAACTCCTGCAGCTGACAAACACCTTTAGTAATGTGGCAGGGCACAAGATCAACTCCAAAAAATCAGTTGCCCTCCTATACACAAAGGATAAAGAAGCAGGGAGGGAAATCAAAGAAACTTCACCTTTCACAATAGCCACAAATAGCATAAAATATCTTGGGATAACTCTGACCAAGGAAGTGAAAGACCTATTTGACAAGAACTTTAAGTCTTTGAAGAAAGAAATTGAAGAGGATACCAGAAAATGGAAAGAACGCCCCTGCTCGTGGATTGTGAGGATCAACATAGTAAAAATGGCAATTCTACCAAAAGCAATCTATAGATTCAATGCAATCCCCATCAAAATCCCATCAAACTTCTTCACAGACCTTGAGAGAACAATAATCAACTTTATATGGAAAAACAAAAAACCCAGGATAGCCAAAACAATCTTATACAATAAAGGAACTTCTGGAGGCATTACCATCCCTGACTTCAAACTCTATTACAGAGCTATAATATTGAAAACAGCTTGGTATTGGCATAAGAACAGAGAAGTCGACCTTTGGAATTGAATAGAAGACCCAGATATTAACCCACAAACCTATGAACACTTGATTTTTGACAAGGGAGCTAAAGATATGCAATGGAAGAAGGAAAGTATCTTTAACAAATGGTGCTGGCATAACTGGATGTCAACCTGTAGAAGAATGAAAGTAGATCCTTATCTATCACCATGCACAAAAATCAAGTCCCAATGGACTAAAGACCTCAACATTAATCTGTCCATTTTGAACCAGATAGAAGAGAAAGTGGCAAGTAGTCTACAAGATATAGGCACAGGAGACCACTTCCTAGGTAGAACCCCAGTAGCACAGATAATAAGAGAATCAATGAATAAATGGGACCTCCTGAAACTGAGAAGCTTCTGTAAAGCAAAGGACACTGTTGGTAAGACAAAAAGGCTACCTTCTGACTGGGAGAAGATCTTCACCAAGACAAAGGTCTGATCTCCAAAATATACAAAGAACTCAAGAAACTAGACACTAAAACTCTAATATACCCAATTAAAAAAATGGGGTACTCATCTGAACAGAGAATTCTCAACAGAAGAACTTCGAATGGCCAAAAGACACTTAAGGTCATGCTCAACATCCTTAGCGATTAGGGAAATGCAAATCAAAACAACTATGAGATACCATTTTACACCGGTCAGATTAGCTAAAGTCAAAAACACCAATGATAGCCTATGTTGGAGAGGATGTGGAGAGAGGGGAACACTCATCCATTGTTGGTGGCAATGCAAACTCGTGCAGCCACTGTGGAAATCAGTGTGGCAATTTCTCAGGAAACTGGGAGTCAACCTCCCTCAGGACCCAGCAATTCCACTCTTGGGAATATACCCAAGAGATGCCCTATCATACCAGAAAAGCATTTGTTCAACTATGTTCATAGCAGCACTATTTGTAATAACCAGAACCTGGAAATAACCTAGGTGCCCCTCAATAGAAGAATGGTTAAAGAAGGTGTGGAACATATATACATTAGAGTTTTACTCAGCGGTAAAAAACAATGACATCTTGAATTTTGCATGCAAATTGATAGAAATAGAAAACGCTTTACTGAGTGAGGTAACCCAGACCCAAAAAGAGGAATATGGTATGTACTCACTCATAAGTGGATTCTAGCCATAATTAAAGGTCTTTGAGCCTATTATTCATGATCCGAGAGAAGTCAAATAAGAAGGTGAACCTGAAGAAAATCATGTAGTTATCCTTCTGGAGATTGGAAGTAGACAAGAGTGCCAGGCAACCTTGGGTGCACGGGGGGTGGGGGGGCGGTGGATGGAAAGGGAGAGGGTTAGAGAGAAGGGAGTAGAGGAGGATTGAAGAAAGCTTGGGGGATTGGGATGGGGGAGGGAGGAGGGATGGATATGGGAGCAGGCAAGTATATATCTCAACTAAGGGAGCCATTTTAGGGGTTACAAGAGACTTGATTCTAGAGGGGTTCCCAGGTCCAAGGAGAGATCCCCAGATTGTTCCCTGGACAGCAGAGGAGAGGGTGCCTGAACTGACCTTGGCCCATAACCATACTGATGAATATTTTGCATATCACCATAGAACCTTCATCTGGCGATGGATGGAGATAGAGACAGAGACTCACATTGGAACACTGGACTTAACTCCCTAGGTCCAAATGAGAAGCAGAAGGAGGGAGAACGTGAGCAAGGAAGGCAAGATCAGAGGGAACCTTCACCCAATGATGGATGGAGATTGAAACAGAGACCCACACTGGAGCACTGGATTGAGCCCCCAATGTGCAAATGAGGAGCAGAAGGAGGGAGAACATGAACAAAAAAGGCAGGACCATGAGGAGTGCATTCAGCCACTGATACAAGGGGACTGATCTAATGAGAGTTCACCAAGGCCAGCTGGATTGGGACTGGGACTGAATGAGTACGTGATCAAACCGGATTCTCTGAATGTGGCCGAATTCTCTGAATGTGGCTGGTACAGGGACTATCTTAGAAGTCATTGATAATGGCACTGGGACTCGTTTTGTCTGCATGTACTGGGTTTTTGGGATTCAGTCTGTTTGGATGCTCACCTTCCTTGACCTGGAGGGAGGGGGGAAGAACTTGAACTTCCCACAGGGCAGGAAACCCTGACTGCTCTTAGGGCTGGAGAGGGAGTGGGGAGAGTGGGAGGGTTTTGGGAGGAGGGGCGAAAATGGAAACTTTTATAAATTAATTTTAAAAAAGTTGCTTACTTCTTATTTACTTATGCAATATTATATCCTTCTGGAGTCTTTGATGAAATTGAAGAATGGTTATTTATAGTTATAATTATAATTTTCCTTAGTTATGATAAAAGATAAATTAGATATATTGTAACTGTAATTCTTGATTTATAACTGTTTTTGCTATATGTAATTTTACTATTTTAAAATAAAAGCCTTCTTTTTTTGTTTAAACAAAAAAAGGGGAAATGATAGAGGAGGGTCTTCTTTCTATGTGTTACTTTCATTGGTTAATAAACTGCCTCGACCTTTGATAGGACAACAGCATTGATAGGCGGAGTAGACAGACTAGAATGCGGGGAGGAAAAAGGCAGTGAGACAGTCGCCATGACTCTCTCTCCAAGAAAGACGCAGGTTAGGACCGTACCCAGTAAGCCATCACTCATGGTGCTACACAGATTATTAGAAATGGTTAGATCAATATGTAAGAGTTAGCCAATAAGAGGAAACAGATAATGAGCCAGGCAGTGTTTAAATGAATACAGTTTCCATGTAATTATTTTGGGGGCAAAGCTAGCCAGGCAGCCAGGAGCTTGGCAGGACGAAAAGCAGCCTGCCATTCCTTCTACATGGTTATATGACTCAGGCCTGGCCAATCAGAACATCATACTACCTAGGACACAGTGATTGGCTCAACAATAGCCTCGTGACTAGTCAGGGCAAAGGAGCTGAAGATACTCAGAGATAGGACTTTCTGTGAGGCTGACTGGAACTAAATGTCCTCTTCTCACAGGGTGGAAGGACAGGATGGGCTGATGCTGCCTGGGCTCCTTCTTCTGAACCAGGACAAGATGAGATGGTGAGCTCCTGAGAGCCTCCTTTGAACAGAAGCCACAAAAAAAGAATAGAGAGAAGAAGGGCAGAAGGAGGAGGGAGAAATTTTTGAAGGAAAATTGAGCCAAAATCAATCTGTGTTGGGGGCAACCCTGTAGGAAAACCAATTGTGGGACGGGCGAGAAGGCATGGAGTCAACCACATAGACTCTGGAAGTCTGGTGACCAGGAAAAGTCAACTCCTTTATGGAGAGTATGGGCAGGCCTCTCATATCCCATCCCAAGGTCCCATTGGCTCAGGTGACCAATTCTTCTGTGTTGTTCTTCTTTCACTGACATCTCTGGTCACGTGTCCATTAGTCAGCACTCTCTGGGTATAGCAGCAGGCCTTCGATTGGTTCAGGGAGGAAGTTCCCACCATGCATGCTCATGTGGGCTGGTTTTGGCAGGACAGCTGAGGCTTGGGTAGGCTGGTTTTGGCAGGACAGCTAAGGCTTAGGAAGGCTGACCGACAGTTTCTCCTACAATCTAGGACCAGAAGCTCCTCTCTTTTTTTGGCTAGTATTAATATTTATTGCCCACATTTGGCTTTTATAGTTACTAATGAATATCCAGATATTTACATGAAGCATTAACAACAGAGGGAAAAAATCATATATGTACTACTTTCTCTATTTAAATTGAACTTGCAAAGTATACTAATAAAAACATTTTTCTTAGATATATACAAAAAATAACAAAGAACAAATAACAAGTAACCAAATTTTAAAAAGTTCTTAACACAAAAATCAGAACTAGGGAAAGAGTAGGAATTCAGATTGAAGCATAAACTCTAACTCTGTATCCATTGTCCCTGTCAATCAGATTCATGGACATGCATTGTTGCAGGTCTGCCTGACAGTCAGTCCCACATTAAGTTGGAGAAGAGGAAGCGACCAAGATGATGATCAGCATGAGGTGGGCATCCAAGTCATTGCTGGGGAGGTGGAGACTCAGTGGGCAGATGGGAGTTCTGTCCAGCCCTGGATCTGGCAACAGTAAGCTAAAGGAGAAATGGACTGGCAGTTCAGAACTTGTAGCTGGAGTATGGACGCAGAGGCCTATTGCCCTGGGTTGCAGGGCCACAGTCAACTGAGCTTCTGTCCTGGCTCCCTCCTGCAACAGGAACTCCTTACCAGGGCCGGAATTCTCCTAGGCCACTTCCGTTTGCCCACGTGTAGCGGGCAGGCAGCAGAGCACAGTGCTCTCAGTGCCCGGTAAATTCTCTTCTTCATCAGCTTCCAACCCCGGATTGGCCTGGTTCCAAAGGCTGTGGGTACAACCTGGGCTGGTCACTCGGCACCTCTGGCTCTGTGGATTGTTCTTCGCTGAAGGCCATGTTCACCAGCCCCATGCATCTCCCATTCAGAGGTGGTTCATGAGAGGAAGATTCATCAGCCAGGCTATCCAGTGACATCATGTTGACTGTGGTGTCCCCTGTAGTGGATTTGATGGTTTCAGTGGCCAATGCATCTCCTTCTGGGGCTGTGTTATCTGAATAGTGCAGCTCCTCTGGGCAGGTGTGTGTGTGTAGCCCTGCTTTGCTTCTGTATCTGGACAGCAGAGCCGGTTCACTGTGGCTCCTCTTCATGGCGATAGGGACGCTAATATTGACTGCAGGGATGATATTTTGCAGACTGCTATCCCCAGAGCTCACTTTGAATTTTAGTATGTTAATCGTTGCTGTTAGGTTTAACTGTGGGTCTTTTAGCAGTGATACAACCTGCTCACAGGTGTACCTGTTGTTACACATGGTCTCCACAACGTTGGCAAGGATTTCCTTGACAGGAGGTGTTACGTGTTCCCGAATATGGCCCAGGGACAAGCCGAGATGATGTAAACCTGAACCAAATGTAACCCGTGAGCAGTTTGGCCAAGGTGAAATAACAGGCTTTAGAAAGCACAGGGTGGTGGTGATAAGGTGGTACATAGCTTTGGGGGTCGATGCTACATAGTGCAATTGTCTGGTGACCAGGACATAGAAGACAATCCCTAAGCTCCATGTGTCGCCTGCCATAGCATCATATTGGTGTTCCGGCCAAGATCTCAGAAGCCAAATATGGGAAGGTGCCCCACAGCTCCTCCAGCATCTGGCCCTCTGCAAGCTGACTGGCCAGCCCCAAATCACAAAGTTTGACTTTGCCGCCTTCCCCCAGAAGGATGTTCTCTAGCTTGATGTCGCAGTGTGCGATCCGGCTTTGGTGCAGAAAGTGTACAGCAGATGCCAACTGATTGATTAGGGGCCTAGCCTCCTCCTCTTTTAGACAGCCCACCTCCCTGATAAACATCACCAGGTCTTTTCCTTTAAGGTATTCCATGACCAGATAGTTGGTCTGCAGCGTGTTGATAGCATGGAAAAACTGGAAGATGTTTCTGTGTTGCAAGGACTTATGGATGGCAACTTCAGACCTGATGTACTCCATATCTTTGTACTCTTTCTCAAGCACCTTGTTAGCCACCTGCGTTTTCGTGGAAAGGTGTTGGGCAAGTATCACCTCCCCAAAGGTACCACACCCCAGAGATGTTAAAAATTTAAAATTCTTCTTACGGATGTCAACTTCCTGGGTGCTGGCCATGATGGTTATTTAAGTTCTCTGCATTTTGGAGAATTTCAAGGACACACAATGCTAGGGAAAAAATGATTACAGTTTTAGATTGTAGGTTTATAGGTATGAATTCTCTGTCTTGAAATCTGAGATAACCCAAACAACCTAATGATGCCTTTAAGACCACGGAGTACAAGAATAATCCAGAGGATAATTGACATAAAGACACTGAACACAAGTGTATCAGCAACTGTTCAGATTCTGGGGAGGAGCCCATACTCAAACACAGGGATCACTGATCAGTAATGCTCTGGGAAAGTAGCTACACATAGAGTAAATCTCATCTAAGAGGAACAAAGTCCACAAAGAGAAATATGATATTTTCTTCTTCTGTGGGTTTAAGGAAGAGCTGGGCTGAGCGTTTATCAAAGAAACAGTATTAGTCACAGAGATGGAGTGGAGGAAGCGATAGAGCAGGAGAGTTTGACCAAAATGCAGGCTAGGAATGGATGGGAAATTTATAATGAAATTGCTATGGTTAGTTTACAGTAACACGTATTCCATCTGAAAAAAATTGAAACCGCAGTAGAAAAAAGTAAATAATAAATGAATTTTGAAACAGAAAATTGGGTAATAATGAAAAAATAAAACTTTCACAAATCAAACCTAGGATGTAAACTAATAGCATACATGCAAACATGAAATAGAAAACTTAACCCTGGAACCAAAACCAGTAACTGGAAAGGAACTCACTCTATCAAAGTGCAGTAGATTGGAGATTCCTAGTCTGTCACAGCCAATATTCTGTAGACTTGTTCTGTAGCCCAGCAACAGCTACTCCGAGATACAAGACAGGAACCCAATGGAGGCAGGGCCTAAAACAGAGTAGTTGTTAACATACTTCATAATGCTTCGTTGTGATTTCACCCAAAAGGGCAGACCAATCATGGCTAGCCATATCTAACACTGGTTTGACCAGGTTCTGTAACACAATCAGTATTTTGTGTGTGTGTCTATGCGTGTGTGTGCACATGCGTATATGCACTTTCAAGCGACACTGAAGCCATGGTGGTGGGACATTTCCTTCCCAAATAGAGCTGTTGCTTAGGTGGCACTGAATTAGAAGTTCTCTGTCACCAAGTGGCACAGGTACTCTAGTTAGGCCCACATCCATGTGTTTCACAAATTCCCAAACAAAGTGTCAATTCCTGAACACATCTGACATTCAACAATCCCTTTGTTACTTTGAATAAGAAAGGTCTGATACAAATGGGTGTTTGAACACATGGACATGCAAGAGAAATAGATGGTATTTCTTGGAAACTTTTTAGGTTGGAGCCATGGAAGCAGAACTCCATCCGTGGCACTGTCCTTGAGAAGAAACAGCATAGTCTTCATGTCCTCTTCTACTTCTTGCTTGAGTTTGAGTTGGTGACATCTCGAGTTTTCTGCATTTACCTTCAGGGCTCCAGCTAGCTTCCATGACTCTGACTCACCCCTATGGGCTCTTGTCCCTCCAAAACTAAGTCAGACAGACTTGCTCACTCTCTCTTAAGATCATTTTCATAAACTTCTATCACAACAGAATGCTAGACAATAAACATGGGCTTAGCAGAGCTGGTTGCTCCCTGTCCCCACGCTACCCATGCGGCCCAGGAGTCAAGGCAGACTCATTGCTGTCACACAGTCACACCTTGACTGTATATGTTTCATAGACCTCGACCAGATTAAAAATGGTCCCTTCAAGCAGCCTGGATTTCAGGCAACATCTTCTGTAATGTAGCACAGGTCTCATACTAAATGAACTAGCTTCATGTTTGTACAGGACCTTCCTTTCCCTCAGAAACCTGCATTTCCATGGAGACATGCTTTGTCTGACAGGAATGAAAATGCTTCAGACTCCCACTGTGTGGCCTTCATTGCTAGAATCCTTGTGCCTGGATGGAGAATTTCTCCTAGCATCACCATCTCTCTGTACCTCCCATCTTTTTCCTCTCCCTATTAATGATGGGGACTCATATAACAAGGAAAGATACAAGAATCTGTGGAAAACTTTAATGTTGAAATATAAAACTAGGTAACACAATGTGAAAGAACAAATAGGTTGACAATGCCCTGTATTTTCCTGGGACAATTCACTGACAGATCATACAATCTAAAGAATTGCCTGTAAGGATCCACATATATTCCATTAGCACATAAAACTGAGGCAATTATTATTTTCAAATCTTTGTATAAAACAAACTATTCATGTAAAGCCCTTACTCTCTAATCAAGAAAAGACATCTTAAAAAGAGATGAGTATCTGACAGGGGCAATTACTATGAATATTAAAATATCCTTAAGTAGAGTACTTGCTCCTTCAATTCTTAGTGACACATTAAAATGATCATTCTTCATGATCAAGATACCTTCAGGGGAACACAGGAATCAATCTACATACAAAAATTGACAAAAGAGCAAGCATAGTCCAAAATCAAGAAAACATAGTCACCCCTGAAAAAATGGAATGCCACTGCTGGGGACAACATAGAACAAGAGAATGTTTTATTATAAACAATCCTATTCTACAAACATGAAAATATTTACTTTCAGCATAGTTAGAAGAGAAGATGAAATTCTTGTTAATACAAATACTTCTCACCTGACATTGGCAGGGAGGTGACACACGGCTGGTGAGTCTTCAACACAGTCAGGAATTCTTCACTGTGTCCTACAAACCAGAAAGTTTGGGGAAAAAAACCAGAGCACAGTGAAGAATGACAAAGAAATGAGATTGGATGAAAAGAAAAATCTCAATCAGTGAAAGAATAGAAATAACACCCCGATTTAAAACAAAATTGAATATGGTCAAAAAGAATCAATCAATAAATGTCAAACATGGAAAGTCGAACAGAAAACAAGGGAAACTCACTTTTTTTCAGGATAACCCACCATGAAATATCCAAGTTTGATTGAGTAATTTTGCATCCATGTTCATGAGTGAGATTGGTCTGTATTTTTCTTTATTGGTTGAATCTCTGTGTGGTTTGGGTATCAGAGTAATCGTGGCCTCCATAAAAAAAAGTTTGGCAATGTCCCTTTTTTCTATTTTGTAGAACACTAATCTGGAATATATATATATATATATATATATATATATATATTCATATATATATATGAATTGAAAATTGTAACATGAAGGGAAAGCTTGTTTCTTTGTGTTTTTCTGTCCTGCCCGGTACCCCCAGCTGTTTAGTCCCTGAGAAAAATCACACTGAGATCTCTATAAGTTATAAAGTTGATTGGCCCATTAAGTCAGTCTACTTATTAGCTAACTCTTACATCTTGATTAACCCATTTTTCTGATCTATTTTAGCCATGAGGCTCTGTACCTTTTCCAGTTGGGCAGCTCACATCCTGCTACTTCGGTGGTCTGGACAGTAGTGGGAGGAATCAACTTCCTCCTCTCCAGAATTCTCCTGCTCTCCTTGCATCATTTCTACTTTCTGTCTGGTTTTCCCACCTACACCTCCTGCCTGGCCAATCAGCATTTATTTAAAACATGATTGACAGAATACAGACAATTCTCCCAGACCAATGAAAAATAAGAAAAATGTTATAGTACTACCAATTAAAAATAATGTCATCAAATAAATATCAGATTATCTGTACATACAGAAATGTGAATGACTGCTTGGTAAAAGAACTAACTGATACTGTAATTTATATGTTTTAATGATCTTCAAGGGAATTTCTATTTTCACAGTATAAGGAACAAGCTCTAATGAATAGAAAACATTTCTTCACGGGATGAATCCTAATCTGTCAGATTTCAAGGGCCAAGAGAGAGAGTCGGAGGTGATCCAAGGCACCCAAATCTTTTCCTGTTGCCTCTGTTGTGACTGTGGATCTCTGTGTTCCCCAAATCAAGAAGGTAAGTACCCCAGCCCTCAGCATGATGCTGTTTGTAAGAAGGACTCTAGAGGGGGAATAGATCCTACACCCTAAGTGTTCATGGATGGCATTTCTGCTCCCTAAAGGGTACACCGGAGATATAGCAGTCCCACCTGCCAATGAAGATCCAGACAGAAAGCAGGCATAGATGAACCAATGAGTAAGTTTGGTCAGACTCCAATCTGCGATGTCTTGATTGTAAACAGTGAGAAATAAGTGTTTAATACTTAACACTTGCATGACACACTTTTGGTGCAGCAGTGTTAGCTGCTCCAATGACTTCTGAATGCTCTAAAGGTCAAACCACTTGCACTCACCTTCTCATAAGCAGGCAAATAATGGTTCCTAGCTTTGTCCTTGGCCTTGGCAAGGCTAGCCTCTTTCTCATTTGGGGAATGTAAGGTTGATGGAGAACTGAGTAATCCAAACCCATCATATCTTCAGTATACATGTCAATGGCGAAAACAGACAGATATTCGGCCAGAACCCTCCTGCCTCAGATTTTACAGTCAAAAACCATAAAAGACTGTGGTAAATTAGGTTCCCCTCTGACGGAGCTGTAGAGACAGTAATAATAGATTTTTACTTGCAGGTTAGCAATCCTTTTACAATTTTTATTGAGACAGGATCTCTTTATGTAGCTCTGTCTGGCCTGCATATGTACTATGTAGACATACTGGACTTAAACTCACAGAATTCTCCTCCTTTTGTCACTGAGTGCTAAGATAAAGGCAAATGCCACCACCTCCAGTCACATTCCCATTTGAATGCCCTAAAGGGCTGGCAAGCAAGGCTGCTCTCTTCCTCCATTCTTCTGTTGATGTCTGGCTCATTTTCTATTTATTGAACATTATAACTAACACATCTATGAATAACCAAGGAATGTATTTTTATTTCTCTTGCATATTTATCTAGCAATGTAATTGCTGGGTTATTGGAGACTCCATGTTTAACTTTCTGAGAAAACACCTACAGTTCCACAAAATATTCAATTTGAATGGCGTGGTCTATCACAAAAAAGAGGAGACCACATGATCAGTCTTGACAGCTCTGAACAGCCTTCCCCAAAAAAGCTTCATGCAACCCTGGTATTTCTGTACCAGACTCTGTGAGCCACAATCAGCCTGACTGCATGTAGATTCACATGGTAAGCTAGGGTCATGACTGTAATTTTCAGTACTGGAAGATAAGTTATTTGGATCCTTCTCTTTACTGCCGTTTGGGTCCATCTATCAAAAGCTATTGGATAGAATGTTTCATCTGAAGGTTAATCAAAGGGATACCGGACTCCACCATCTCCTATTCTACAGGACACCCACAACCCCTCCTATTCTTCCCTCAATTCCATAGCATTCTTCTTAACTGAAGTCAGTGTATGCATGTCCAAACACCCAGGCATTGTGTCACGAGTCCTTTGCCATGGTTCTCTTCACTCAAGTCATGACGTAACTATTTCCCAGACTAAATATTTCGTACATACCTCTCTCCTTCTTGTCCTTCCCATGGAGGGCACATTTGGTGGCAATGTAGCTGAGAATGACTTTGATCTGTACCAACTTCATTTGGTCAGTCTCCACCATGGGCACCGAACGGAACATCAAACTCCCAGCTATTAGATGAAACAAAAAGATAAGAAAATACGATGTTTATGGGATATTATACTTATTATAATATACATATATACAAACACATAATTTATTCCATAGACACATTCAAAAAAGGTGTTTGATTAAATAACAAAAAATTGAAAGAACTATTTACTTGATAACTAACTTTTCAATGGAATAGCATTTAAAATTTTAGTTTTCTTCATCTTTAGTGTGTTCTAAGTTTTAGCAGTTTATTTTATTAAAATTTTTATTTCATACTGACAAAACTTCTGTATTTTTTATACAGGGTGTTATGGTATATTAATTCATGTTGATGTATATTTTAAGAATGGGTAGAAGGAGGTATAATTTATATTATTAGCTGGTACCCGTAAAATAAAAATAAGGTCTCTATGTCTCTTGCTACTCAAGATAATAAGACAAGATCTTAAACCTGTTTCTGTGTAGCTTTCCTGTGGTGTTTCACTTATACCAAGGACCAGTATGTGTTGGGTAGACCCAGAGAACCTCACCTCTAGGTGTTGACCTTCCCTCCTCTTTCACATCCTCCCTCACAGTATTCCACATGATCAGCATAACCTTTCTGCTAACCCTATTATGTAGTATTACTAGGGAATTAGTTTGTAAAACCCATTAGAACTCAGGATAAGTGGCTAACATATTTGCCCTGGCATCTAGTGAATTTGATGTGGATGAAAGGCTGTGTGGGAACCCAAGCTAACTCAGGGAAGCATGGGAAAGTAGAGACCAGTCATCCATAGGGCTTTGGGGATGGTGTCAGCAAACGCAGTTCCAGCCCTTTTATTTGAGATGATTACCGTATCTGTTAACAGAGACCCGTGACTTGCAGTTGACCACCCTTTCATCAATGAATGCTGTAGTTACACAGGTAATATCTTGCGTTTAACACTTCCACTAGAAAACTCTCAGAAAACGTTAGATATTTGCTATTTCCATTTGTTACCTTGTCAAGTCATCCCGACTTCTCAAAATTTTTTCAAACTAGAATACACAAAGGATAAACAAGTCTTAACTTCACTGCATGTCAGGCTTTTCTCTAACGGTGCCGATCTGCAGATCCTGTGAGAGAAGGTAGATAGTTTTAATTTGGCAAGGACACAGGTGAACTAATAATCATGGCTTGTGCGACTTAGGAGCAGATCTTTAATAAGGAGTCGTGGTTATGACGCATCGCTTCTCCTTCTAGTAATTGATGCTGTCTTTCCCAGAACTTTACCAGAGCCAGAACCAGAAGTCATGGGCTACAGCAATGCCAGCGGAAGGAAAATGCTGATCATTGCTTCTGACTATAATTTATAATATTTCTGCCTATTATCAATGCGATCAGAAAGGACATTGTGTATCCCCTGCATGGAATATGGCACCGTCTAGTGTCTAACATCTGCCAATAGGCATGATCTGTAACTACTTTAACTACAATGTTCTGCAATTATTTTCAAGTACAATGTTGGAAACATTACAAAGGTAAGGTATAGTAAAGTGGTGGGATCTCAGCTACTGGACTCTGGTCTATCTGGTAAAATTTTCAACCCCTCCTTTGGTGGAGAATCAAGCTTTTGTTAGACCTGACATAGAGGTGGACAAAGAATGGCTCTAAAGGGGCTAAAGATTGCCCGCAATAAATAGGAATTAGCCTCTGGGTCTGTGACATGCAACACTTTTCACAGTTTTAATCAGCCTCTGCAGACTTTGCTTCTGTGTAGGAATTCTTGTGCACATGTGCTTTTTGACATCATCCTTTGAGTTTTTATATATAGTTTTAACAGGTCTAATATTGGAGAATAATGTACTCAGTTATAGATCCATAACTAATATTTTAATATTTTTATTTAAATTCTGAAATCTAGCCAAAAGCACACAAAAAGGATGATCAAAACATGGGACTCTTGTCATGTTTGTGGGCATGCCTCATGCTGGAAGAAAAAAGGTAAATTTAATAACTTAACACAGGATAGAATTTATTTGATCATTTGTAAAGTTAGAGGAAGTGTATATTTTTTAGAAGAATAGGGGAATGTTTTCAAAACACTCAGCACCTCTCTTGCCTCTCAGAAAGCAAGTAGTGTTAAGCAATACAGTTGTGTCATTTCCTGGAGTTTCTGGTTGTGAGATGTTAGGACATCGGGGTTATTGAGCATGCTCAATGGATCAGTTTCTTGTGGATCTATATGATTACATGGTATCAGACTCAGGGCCCCCTGAGCGTGGGCAAGGTAGGTTGGGGCTGGAGTGTGATGTTGATGGTGAGGTTGCTGCTGATGGGTGTGACTGTAGTGACATCATTTGTGCACAGTAGATCACTGCCAGAGCATCCAGGCAACTTGTTCTCAGTAGGCTCTTCAGTCATGTTGAGAGGCAGGAGGGGAAGCTGGCATCACTGCCACTTGCTCTTCCTGTACTGAGCTCACTCTGCCCAGAGGCTTGGAACTCTTGAAACACAAGACCACCATCTACTTGTTTGGGAAATACCTCATTGTGTAAAGAAAACAGTCTGTGAAGCACTACAATTTGCTTCTTCTTCCTTTGTTACTTTGAAAGAGGATTAAGCCAGACAGTCAATATATTCACAAAGCGGTTTGCAAGGGCACTAATCTAAGCCTCTGGTAAATACTTTGCTGGGAAGCAGAGGAGGCAGTGGAAAGCCAACTGAAAATGGGGTCTCATATTGTAGCCATGCCTTTCTGACCACTACCTTCCAGGGACAAGACCTCTTGGCAGTTTCCATGACTGCTAGTGTCCCACAGTCTGCTCCAGCCATACAACTGTCACTCCCATTCAGAAGGACTAGTTTAGACCTTAGGTATTTCTTTCCCTGTCTGGCTGGAGTGGTGAGCTCCCTTTAGCTCAGGTAAACTCTTTCAGTGGGTGTGCCCATTGAAGTCTTGACCTCTTTGCTCATAGTCTCACTCCTCCCACTCTTTGGGAGCTCAGTCCAATGCTCCAGTGCAGGTCTCTGACTATGTTCCCACCTATTGCTGAATGGAGATTCAGTGGTGATATTTAAGATATTCTTCAGTTTGACTACAGGGAATGTCCAGTTCAGGCACCCTCTCTTCTGTTGCTTTGGGTCTTAACTGTGGTCATCCTTGTGCATTCCAGGGAATTTCTCCAGTGCCAGGTTTATTGCTGGCACCAAAATGACTCCCCAATCCAAATATCTCTTTCCTTGCTTTCATCTGTCCTTCCTCCATCTTCACCATCTTGTTCCCTCAAGTTCTCCTTCCCCCTTCCCTCTCCCTTCATCTTCACCTTCTACCCTCCCTACTTGCCCACCCCTATGCTCCCAATATTGTAGGTGATCTTGTATATTTCCCCTTTCCAGGTTGTTCTATATATGTGTTTATTAGGGTTCACCTTGTTACTTGGCTACTCTAGACATGAACTATAGGCTCAATATCCTTACTTTACAACTAGTATCCACTTATGAGTGAGTACTGCCATATTCATCTCTCTGGGTCTGGGTTACATCACTCAGGATGTTTTTTTTTCTAGTCCCATACATTTGGATGCAAATTTCAATATGTCATTTTTTTCCCAGCTGAATACTTCTCCAATGCGTAAATGTGTCACATTTTCTTTTCCATTTTTTGTTGAGGGACATCTAGTTTCTTTCCAGGTTCTGGATACTACAAATAATGCTGCTATGAACATAGTTAAACAAATGTCTTTGTAGTATGATTGAACATCTCTTGGGTATATGTCCAAGGGTGGGTGGTATTTTTCAGTCCTGAGGTTGGTTGATTCCCAACTTTCTGAGAAACTGCCATCCTGATTTCCAAAGTGGTTGTACAAGTTTATATTCCCACCAGCAATGGATGAGTGTTCCCCTCAGTTCACATCCTCTACAGAATAATCTATCATTGGTGTTTTTGACCTTACTCATTCTGACTGGTATAAGATGACATCTCAGAGTTGTTTTTATTTGTATTTCCCTGATGGTTAAGAATTTTGGGCATTTCCTTAAGTGTCTCTTTTGTCCATTTGAGGTTCTTTGGTAGAGAATACTATGTTTAGTTCAGTACAGCGTTTTTTAGTTGGGTTACTTAGAATTTTTATGTCTAATTTCTTTAGTTCTTCATATATTTTGGAGATCAGTTCTCTATCTGATATGGGGATAGTAAAGATCTTTTCCCATTCAGTAGGCTGTCTGTTTTTTCAATCTTATTGACTATGTTTTTTTCTTTACAGAAGCTTCTCAGTTTCAGGAGATCCCATTCATTTATTGTTGCTCTCAACGTCTGTGCTACTGGGGTTATATTTAGGAAGTGGTCTCCTGTGCTCATGCAATGAAGGCTACTTCCCACTTTCTCTTTTATCAGGTTCAGTGTGGTCCTATTTGTCTTCTAGTTTTTAATCCATTTGGACTTGAGTTTTGTGCATGGAACCCGAGATGGATCTATTTTCATTCTTCTACAGGTTGACATTCAGTTATGCCAGCACCATTTGTTGAAGATGTTTTCCTTTTTCCATTGTATAATTTTAGTTTCTTTGTCAAAAATCAGGTGTTCATAGGTGTGTGGAATAATATCCAGGTCTTTTATTCAATTTCCTTGGTCAACGTTTCTGCTTTTATGCCAATACCAAGCTGTTTTCATTACTGTAGCTCTGTAATAGAGCTTGAGGTCAGGAATGGTGATGCCTCTGGAAGTTCCTTTATGGTTCTGGATTTTTTGCTGTCCTGGGTTTTTGTTTTTCCATATGAAGTTGATTATTGTTCTTTCAAGGTCTGTGAAGAATTGTGTTGGGATTTTGATGATGATTGCCTTGAATCTATATCTGGTGGATTACGTTGGTATATTATTGTATGTTGAACCATCCCTGCATTTCTGGGATGATTTTTTTGATGTGTTCTTGGATTTGGTTTGCCAGTAGTTTATTGAGTATTTTTGCATACATGTTCATGAATGAGACTGGTCTGTAATTCTCTTTCTTGGTTTAGTCTTTGTTTGGTTTTGGTATCTGGATAACTGTGGC